GGGTTCACTGACCCACAGGTCTCCTATCTGGGATTTTGTTTATTCATTCTGAACTTAGACTCTTGCTGAGCTGCAAACCCAAGCTTGGAGGGACACTGCTGAGGATGGGGAGCATTCTCAGCTCCGAGTGACAGAGTGACTGCCCTGAAGGGACTTTTGTGAATCAAGATCAGAAGTGGAGAATCTCTGAGGTGCTGTTGAAAATGGACCTACTGGTCCAGACTCTGGCATGTTTTGATTTGCAGCTCCAAAACTCCTGCTCAGCAGTTCTAAGGTGCACTCCAGCTGAGGATCCCTGGGATAGGATTGTAGAAAAGACAACCAAAGCCACTAGGTCTGGAGGGAGCTGGGGAGGTTCCATCGTAAGAGGGTAAAGCTATTTGACCTCCTTTGCCTTCCAACAGGAGTCACGGTGTAGATACACACTCCATCCAGTCTAAAGGACAGCATGGGTAGGGAGTGTAGCTCAGTGGTAGAGCACCTACCTAGAGACAGAGCCCAGGTTGTGTTCCCAAGAACTGGACAAATGGATGGAATGATGGACGGATGAACAGATGGATGGAGCAGGAAGTATGTTGGGTGTTGGGAGCTGGGTGGTGGTACTCATCTAATACCCTAACTGGAGTGGGTATCTGAATAGCTTCTTCCAGAGGAGCTAGAACTGTTGAGTCGTTTCTACAGCACTACCATTTCATGAATATCGAGCCAGCATTCCTCCTGTCGGTGCTACTGCAAGAGGCCCACAAGATGGCCTATCTGGCCCTCAAGAAGTTTGATAGAATAAACATTTTACAATGCAGTGATGTGAATAACCACCAGAAAGCCACACGAATCACAGGTGAAGAGGAGGTTCGTACACACCTGAAGTGAGTTCTCTGAATAAATAACCTGAAAAAAAAAATCAGTAAATGAAAAGGTATAATGAGATCCATACAACTGAAGGGAATTGTGTTAAATGGCTGATTGCAATGAGATGTACATAAATTGTAAGGCTTGTAATGAAACAAAAAAAATCATATTCTTGCCTGGTAATACGGGGTGTAATGTCTACACCTGAAATAAGTCATCTTGGTGTGCTGAGTGTAATGAGATGCACATAATTTTAAAGAGTTTAATGAGATGAAAATAAATCAAACACTTGTCTTAAAATGAAAGATGTACGAAGATGCACACACCTGAAGGGCATTGTCCTAAATGGGTTCAATTTAATGAGATGCGTTTAATTTGCAAAGGGGCTAAATGAGATCGGCCCAGAGAGAGGCTGAGAAATACAAAAGTAGAAGACACACTTGGCAGTGGTGTACTATAACCTGCCTTATTTGTGGGCTAGAAGTAAGATGTCAAGAAGCACACAGCATGACGCAGTCAGCACTCTCTGCTGGCCTTGGTTCGTACCCCCTGGCCTGTGATGCCCTGCAAAGCTGAATTAACCTTTGACCCCAGGTTGATGCTGTACATAGTAAGCACCTATGAAAGCTTAGGGAATGTATAAATGGCTTTGAAATTGGAGTCTGTATGGAAAAAAAGAAAGAAGAGAACTATGTAGAAGGAACTTGAAAGAGGAGCCGGACACTCCTGGTCTCTCAACCCTTCCCCTCCCTTCCCTCTTCTCTCTTGTTCTTCGTAGGTGGGGTCTCTTTATGTAGCCCAAACTGGTCTCAAACCCTTCCATCCTCTGCCTTTATGTCTTAGATGCTTGGATTACAGGCACATATGCCTACCTATGTTTTTTTTTTAAAGAACATATTTTATTTGTGGGGGGCACACATGCCCTAGCACGCGTGTGGAGGTCAGAGAACGACTTGAAAGTCTCAGTTCTCACTTTCTTCCATGTGAGCCCCAGGATGGAACTTAGACAGTCAGGCTTGGTGGCAAGTTATGCACTGAGCTGAAAGGGCCCCTGAAGTCTATTGTCTCTGAGCAGTGTTCCCAAGGAAACACTGGTCGTGGTAGTTTTTGCCCCCTCAAAGCTCATGAGGACCTCTCAAGGCCAGGCAGGCAGGTGGGACACATAAACAAAGGTATCTGGGTGTGAGATAGGGACAGAGTGCAAGAAAAGACAGAACTGTTTTCCACAGACAGATTTTCTTCAATATTTTGTTTCCAAGGCAGAGTCCTGATGGACGATCTTGCTTCCCCATGCTTGATGGAGAAACGAGTTTAGACAAAAACTTCCCTTCTTATAAACACCCATCAAAAACTTGCCAACTCCGCCCAGTGATGCACAGCTATAACCCCAGGACTCCTATCGAGTTTACGATACGAGGATAAAGGGCTCAAGGTTGCCTACACTGCTCAGTGAGTTTGGGGCCAGCCTGTGCTACACAGAAAGACCTCCCCCCAATAAAATAAATCATATTGGGCCTGGTAGGATAGGCTTGTGATTCCAGCTACTTGGAAGGATGAGGCAAAAGGATCACAAATTCAAGGCTTATATGTCCTATAGAGCAAGTTCAAAATTATCCTGGGCACCTTAGTGAGTCTAAAAACAATAAAAATTAAACGCACACACACACACACACACACACACACACACACACACACACACACAGAGAGAGAGAGAGAGAGAGAGAGAGAGAAAATTGGGATGTAGCTCAATGGTAGGACATTAACCGAGCATTTTCAAGGCCCTAGGTTCAAACCCCAATACTACCAAATCAAACCAAATCGAACTGAAACACCCAAAACAAAACACTTGAACCCACTGAGATATTAGAGAAGAAAAGGGAGAATACATAATTAACTAAATAAGGACGGTCCTAGCATAACCTCAGCTGACCTGAGCCTCAGTGTTGGGCTAACCCATGAGTGGGGGCTGTCAGAACTTAGAGAGTGAATCTTGGGGTAGCAGTCCTTCAAATGCCCCATGCTCATGCAGGATGTAGATCCCAAATTGCCTGACTGCCCGACTTTCAAGAGAGACCAGGAATCTCATTTGTTTCAATGTAGAGTCTTCCAACTTCTAAACGTTGGTGTGAAAATCTTAAAAAGCAACCGCTCTGAGAAAAATATGTTTGTAAACAGGATGTTATCGCAAAGTCCCACTTGACCCCAGCAACTCTTGCTGGTAACCCTGAGCAATAAAGCTAGAGAGATCAAAGTCCCAAAGTATAAGACTGTGGCTCTACCCCAGTCTTTTAGAATGTGAATTCCCGGTAAGGGCTCCATGACCGTGGCTGCTATATCCTTGGTGTGTGGAACAGAGCCCAGGACAGTGGCAGTTTAACAACTGTGTACTGCAACAACAGTGAGCTCCTTGGGATTAAGACCGAGCCAGTTGCAGGCTGCCATTCACTGACATCCTCTGGCCTATGCAAATCCGTTAGAGGGGCTTCTGTGTTAAGAATGTTTAAGTCTCCAGTAGGACTTGCAAGCCTGAAAGGGCCTTTCTGAAAGAGCAGTGAGGGACAGAAGCTAGACTGACCAGTTTCTTGGGCCCTACTATCAGAGTTTCATTTTTAGACTAAGGAAATCCACCTACCTGCCGCCCTGTATGCCTCCCTGTCATTACCATAGAGGACATCTCTTTGGGTTGGGTAGCATCTGAATCATGCAGACAGTGTGCTTGCTGCCTCCTGAGAACACAGCCACCCACACCACAAACCCACTTCCAGTTGTCAGTGTGGTGAGAAGACGGCACCCCGGATGGAAAACCTTGGGCGGAAAACCACGTTAGTCTAATTTCTTTGGGACATATTTTCTGCTGTGTGTTCTGCAGAATCCTTAATACATATGCCTTGGAAGAAGCAGAGACAGGTCGAGTGGATCTAAGGAACAGCTAAACAGTTAAATAGGCTTCTTTTCCTGCAGGACCTTTTGGAACCTTGACTATAATGTGCGTTGCACAAAATATATGACATATTTAGCTAAGAACATTCGGTTAATTTGCCTGGTATTTATTTTAGCTAAGAGTATCCGGCTAATTTGGTCATAATTTTTTTCTTTATACATATCTATGTATATATGTATATGACTTCTTATTTTATTTGTATGTGTGAGTGCCCACATGTGTGTTATGTGCACAGTGTGCCTGCCTGGTACCTGCAGAGGTCAGAGAAAGGTATCCTGACTGGAGTTATAGGCAGTTGTGAGCTGTCTGAGGTGGGTGCTAGGAACTGAATGTAGGTCCTCCCTGCAAGAGAGGCAAGTGCTCTTAACTGCTGAGCCTTCTTTCCAATTCCTTTGAACGTGTATGTGTGTGTGTATTCATTCCTTGAAACCTCTTCTTGAAATGACAAGGAAGTCTCCCCCAATTCTCTCTTTTTACTTATGTTTTATTTTTTGAGGCAAGTCTCACGTAGTCCAAGCTGTCCGCTAACTGATCATGTAGCCAAGGATGGCCTTAAACTTCTGGTTCTCCTGCCTCTATCTCCGGAGGGTTAGGAAAATTTATGTGATCTACCACACCTGGCTCTCCATCTTTCCAGTTTTGGGAGGTGATGTTGTAATGGTTTTGTTATCTTTTTGCAAATCTTTCAACTTTTCTGACCCCTTCTGCATCCTTGGCCTGGCTGCAGGGAATGCAGAGATGAGTCTGGGGCAGACCCTGCCCTGGACATAGTACAAGGGTTAAAGCTGCTGCTTGGGCTGCATCTCTTTCCACGTTCCAGGACTTTCCACCTATGATCAAAGGAAGGTGGGCATATGAGAGTGATGTGTGGACCATGGCTGCACCGACTTGGATGATAAAGTCCTGGGACAACAGTGGGGAAATACAAAAGTCTACACGGGAAGAGAGCTCCTCCACTGCAGTGCAGAGAACTGTCAGGAGAGGGCAGTGCAGAGCTTCCTCGTACTAGCCATGCTCTTAACTTACTGTCAAGCTGGACCATCTTCCTCTCCAGACAGCTAACAGAGGTCACCCTGAAAGCCCCCTACTTTGTCCCTTTCTTAGGGAGGTCAGTTCAACGGGGTGGATTCTGGGGCTCCAGATGCTATCTGGCTCAGGGTCCCGCTGAAGGCATACGGGACCTCTAAGGAAAGAGAATTGTGCACCAGCATTTCGGTAGGTGATAAGATTTACTGAAAACTTCGCGGCCACATTCAGTACTGGTTTGGTGGATACATTGGAAGGAGGTTGCATAACATTAGGCAGGTGGAAGGGACTGGGAGGAAGAGATGTAGGCATGTGTATCCATGTGCACATATGCGCACATGTCCATGCTGATTAGGGTGCTTGTCACGGTGCTGCGTGAAGGAAGTTATGTGTGGATGTATGTATTTTAACAAGAAAAATGAACCAGAAGAGGAAACACATTTTATCCACTGTGTGTTGCAAAAGTCTCACACCAAAAAAGCTTGCCTTTCCTCTAGGTATGGCATCAAAAGGGAGTAAAAAAATGATTGGATCACCCAGATTATAAATAAGGTTATTTGTTTCTCAAAAATCCCTAGTAAAACATTAAATATCAGCTCTTTTGGGGGAGAAATACATTCATTTCCGGGAGACCTCAGAAAAGTGACTATCCTTTTGCTCCGCTCAACCAGGTAGAAGAGGGGAGACCCAGAAGGTCCCAAGGGTCCCCTTGGGTTGAGCCAGATAGCCACTCACGTCCTACCACTGAAGGAGATGACTAATGCACACTTACAAATGAAACTGCACATCCATCACATTAAACCCAATGGAAAACACACACGTGATCAGTCCTGCCATTCACAGCCATAGAATAGTAGGGGACAGGAGGAGTGGGTTGCCAATCGTGGGCCCTCCGAGTTGGGCTTGGAGGGTGTGTGTGAGGACGGATGGTAGGTAGCCTCCTCCCAGGAGCCCCCAGTTCCTTCAGCGCCGAGCCCAATGGTGTGTGCAGATCAGTTTGTCCACCATCCTCCTGCCACGTTGGGTACTGAAGGCAAGAGCAGCAGCACCTCTTCAGACCCTGGCTTCCCACTGGGATAACGCTTCTTTCCGATGTGTCTTCTGCCTTCTCAGGAGGATGGAATGGAGAAGGAGGCTAGAGGCAGCCGGTGGTACCAGCCTGGGAGCTGAGGGATACCACGGGGACCTGTGGAGTGGGATGAACCCCGAGCACCCCCTCTAAAGGTTCACAGAGGGGCTGGGCTATCTGAAGAACTCCATCTGAGGATAGGAGCATCTAGGGTAAAACGTCAAGGTCCTATTGTTACAGGAGATGTGATGTGATCACCTCGGGACAGATGTGGTCCCCAAAGTCATCTTAAATATGGCTCCCGATCCAGGTTCTGCTGCCTGCTTGGTCCTAGAGCTAACCCAGATGGAGAGCCGCTCTTAAGCTCTTCAGGTTGGACCCACTGACAATGCTTTTCCAAGGGGAAGGAGTCTCTTTTGGCTTCCATCCCCCTCTCCTAAGTCCATGACTGCTGTGCTAAGAGACAGGGTCCTGGTGGGGCAGGCTGGAGCCCTGTGCAGTTTGTGTCCCACTCGGATCTGTAGGATACGATGTTGCCTCAGGCCCTCCTCCTCTGGCCACCAGTTATGCATATGGACCATCCTTGAGTGTCTTTCAAGGGAGCTCAGATTCTCCTGGGGGGAAATGTTAGACCCCCCTCTCCCCGTCTCACCCTTCCCTCCAAGTCTGCCCCTTGGCAAATGTCCACTCTGCAAACGGCACCTGTCCACCTCACAGGGCAGGGCTTGTAAACAACCCAAGTCCTTTTCCGTGTGGAGCCATGGGGGCCACCTGTCTTCAGGTATTTGGTGAGTCCAGATCTCACTCTGCCTTCCTGCACAGGCTGACTGGCCCCGGCAATGGAGTGCTATGCAGTCCGAGGGTCTGGAAGTAGGTGTTCACGGAAGCGTGGTGGTCGGGAAGGAGCAGGGTGTTGCCTCTGCATTTCTTCAAGCTATGATTCGGGGAAGCTAGGGCCCAACTTTCTTGGTGCTGCCTGCCCACATCCCCTCCCTCCCACCCTGACCCCTCCTGATGACACTCCTTTCCTTCTCAGTGACCAGTGCCACCTGGGCTGCCTGGCTACTCCAGGGAGTCACTGTGTTCCAAGCCCAGGTCGCTGACGTTCGTTGTCTGCAGCTCATCTGCCTCCTCCTCTAACTCCTCCTCCTCCTCTTCTTCCTCTTCCATATCATCTTCATCCTCTTCTTCGGTTCCATCCAACGAGTCGTCGTGTGCCGCCATCATGGCCTGTTGCATGGCCATGGTGGCATTATCGGAGGACAGGGACTGCAGGTTGTCCAAGTTGATGGAACCTGCATGGGAGAGGACGAAGGTTAGGATACACAAGGGCTGTTGGTCGGGCCCAGCAACTTTAGTGATGGACAGGGTGGATGGGCTGGCTCGTGGGATGGTGGGCGTCTTGTTTGTAAGAGCACCAAACACGGAGTGAGACAGTTCACCGGCATGGAGATGCCCACCCTTCCATTCTTCGGCTTCTCTCGCACCATCCCAGGCAGTAATACCCCAGGCCAATACATACTCAGTATTCTCTATGTGAGTATAGGGAGCGCTTTGAGTTTTACTTATTTATTTTGGTTTCTAACTACTCTGTGACGCAGGATCCCCGATCCCCACTCAGACGAGGAGGAAACTAAGTCTCAGATAGATAAGTCATGGATTCAAGAAACGGTGTCAGTACTGACCGAGCTGGGATTTTCTGAAAACGTGCCCAGCATCACCTCTATTTATTCCTCTTCTACCTCGACAGATGGTCACCCACCATACAGAAACCGGGGTACAGTCATATGCATGAAGATATGCATGCACATGGGTGTCTCCACCCTACTGCCCACACAGTGGCCTTCACGTGCCAACCTCAGAGTTGTCTCACTGATTAAATTATTCATTGTTCACCAGAAAACCAACAATTTGAAGAGCATGTGGATGATGAAGGGTGTGATGGAGAATCTGGAAGAACAAAGCTTCTCTTGGCCTCTGTTCACAAGCCAGATGCCTGCCTTGGTATTTATAGATGCCTTGGCCTTGGAGAGCTAAGCCGATACTGACTGTACTGAGCAACCCAGGAATATGAGGAGTGAGTGGGGGGTTTTGATGAGCAGTCACTGATGCTAAGGACCGTCATCTTCCACTCCTTTGTGAGCTTGCTTTCGGTTTGTTAAAAATTTACACAAGAGTTTTGGAGTTCTTTTGGCTCATACTTGTAAGAGTCATCCTAGCACTAAGAAGGCAGAGACAGGAGATCAGAAATGCAAGGATTTTCTTGACTACAAAGTATGTTTGAGGCCAGGCTACACAAGATTCTGTCTCAAACAAAGCAAAACACAAACATGCAATAGCAAAAACAAAAATGTGCACATAGCATCCCTTCTTAATAAGATTTAGAAAAAGCAGAGGCAAGGTTTTATGTGAAGGAGCAGTGACAGGGACCCTGGTTGGGTGAGGACACATTCATTTCTTGAATCTTTGCTTTCCAGGATCCCCACCAGTCCCAGCCTATGGCGAGTCCTGATCTTACCATCAGGGTTCGTCCCTGGGGTGCCGCCCTGCTGCTGCAGGACCCCGGCAGCAATGGAATTGGGCCAGAATCTTTGGGTGGGCCGGTGCTGAGACTTGATCTTCTTGGCTTTGGGAGCAGGATCTGGGTTGCTGGCATCAAGCATGGGCTGCAGGATGCGCCTCCGAGCGTTGATGAACCTGCCCAGGGGTAATGGTGAAGATCTGGTTAGTCACCATCTGGGTCACATGGGGTGGGGAAGATGTGAAGGCTAAGCTGCTCCGTGGTGTCAGTGGACAGATATACCAGTCTTGGGGCAACAGCCCTCTGTGGCTGAGGAGTTTGTGAATTACCTGGGGCTTGGTGACCACAGGCAGCATGGGAAGAATGCATGAGGAGTTGTCAGAATCCACCAGATTTGAACGGAGAAAGGAAGAGCTGCGGTCACAGTCACCAAATTCTGACTTGGACTTATGACAGTGGCCCAGGTTTAGGGTCTAGTACCATCCATCCAGCCTGGCCAGAACAGACAAGGACACTGACATTTCTGTGGGCTCAGGAAGGCATCTCTCCCTCCTTCTTCCACCTTACTTTGTAAAATGCTTTGGTTTCAGCACATAAGGAGTTGGGCAGACCAGACAGCCACAGTTGGCTGTACCTTTGCTACCTGGTGCAAGACCCTCTGGTCTGTCTGCGCTGGGCTTGTGAGCCCAGATTCTCTGGCAGTGTTGGTTTCTAGGGATGTGTTTGACCCAATTTTCCAGCAGAGGGCGCTGAGAAGCTGCTGTTGCAGCCCAGGACAGGCTGAGTCAGGTTCCCTGTATCTAATCCACAAGGGAAGAGGACTGGCCTGGCAGTGGAGCTGAGGCTGAGGTAGGTGTGGGCATTTTACCTGCTCTCCCTGATCCGCATTCCCTTGCCAAGCATGTGCCCCTGGATCTGACAGCCTGTGGGCAGGTGGTGCCAACTCACCAGTTGTTAACTTGCAGAAGGGTGAGGTTTGTCTGGGCTGCAATCTGCCTCTTCTCATCTTCTGTGGGGTAGGGGTGCTGAAATGAAAGAAAGGCCCATGAGGAACTGTAGCCATGTGTGGACCAGGTCGGCCCAGAATTCATCAAGACATGGACACAACCCAGGGCTTGGGAGCCCAAACTGGGGAAAGGCAATGCTTGCTCTTGAGGGCGATAGGCCTAGAGTGTACACAGAGGCTCCCAAGTGCCTTAGACTTTCCAGCTCATTCTCATAACGGAGACCAGGGTAGTTTTTAGAGTCTGTTCGCTATTGATCGCAGGACACTTTCCTCTGCTTCCCTTGATCCCTCAGGAAGGCGGCTTTCTCTGAGCTAGGATCAACAATGGCCTCCAAAGCCATGGAAGGTGGTAAGTGGGGGAGGGGGAGGGGGATGAATCAATGTAATCTAAGTTAATTGTTATTTCTATCTACTACGTGTCAAGATTTACACTAGATTTATACTGTAAAGACAGGATAAATATAATGGTACGCTATTGACACTGGACCTTTTAATCCTTTGAAATGTTTCCATACATTTAACTTCATTTCATCAAACCAACCGCGAGGCAGATCAGATGAGAAAACTGCCCCCTGTCACTCAGATGAGTACTGACTCAGTTCTGCGGACTGCGGCTCTGTATGCCCATGTGGAGGGCTGAGTGGTACAGGTGTATCCTGTACACGTATGTTGCATGTGTTGGCCCAGCCTTGATTATGTGTTTACTCTCCCTCTTCAACCACACTTCATGAGGGTATAATGCGCTCTTAAGAATGCGTGCCCATTGCCATCACAAATGACCACTGATGGAGGAAAACAAAGGAAAGTTGGAGATGCTGTGGTTTGGATACTGAGTGCTATGGAAACTTACAGGAAGGAAATATGTATCGGCCGGAACTCTGGGAAGATGGCTAAGGGGAGTGGCATTAAAGAAAGGAAAAATCTGATTGATGTGGTACCTCATGTTTATAATCCCAACACTTCAAAGGAGAAAGCTGGGGGATCAGCCTCGTCTACAGGAGATACTCAGAAAAAAAAATCCTAATAAGGAAACAGAAACAAAAGGGAAAGCCAAGGGAAGCAGGTCTTGAGGCCAATGGGTGCTGAGGCCGACAACAGAGTTAATGCGTTTCTAGGGCTTTCTGAGGCTTTATTTAGTACATGTGTCTGACATCCAGTAGGCATCATGCAAATCAAAGGGACCAAAGATTCTCCTAGAAGCAGGGGAGATATGCTGGTCTCTGGGGTAGAGGGTCAAGACATCTAGCATTCTCAGACCAGGATCATTCCTTCTGCTTGTGTTGCCCATAGGATAGAAACGCTGGGACTTTCGAAAGTCCCAGAGATGGGGCCTCACAAGCCTGTTCTATTGTGACTAGCTGTGAGACCTCAGGCATGGCACTTAACAAGACATTATTAAGTTATGTAATGATTAAATACTTGTAAAGAGTTCGTACTGCAAGGATGGGGTGGTGTGGGCAAGATGTTTAAAGCTCACAGAGGGAGGAATTGGAGTGTCGCAGCCTTGGGAGCGCTGTCATTAGCAGTGAGGAAGGAAAGCAGCCTCTTCAGTTGGCCTCCGTGTCCCCTGACTGAAGCAATCGGAATCGTGTGTTGCTCTAATTCACACCTCTGACCCTGACCACCACACCAGGGCATCTGACCCTGTGATTCATACAATATTAAGAGTATAACAAGAAGAAACACACATCAATGTTACCAGGGCCAATTTCATGCTAATTGGGAGGGAACAGAAGGAGGCCGGAAGGGAAGATATCAGACCCTGGACAGGCAGGGACTCTGGGACCCTGGTGATGCTCCCTTCCTACTTCACAAGGTTCACAGGAAGGACGACCCAGTCTCGTTCCATAACATGGCACAGTATTTACATATAGCCCATACATCCTACACAGAGCTGGGCACTGAGCACTCTGGAAGCTTAGAGAAAGGGAATCGGTGGCCAGATTCTCCAGGGTTCTGAGTTACTTACAATACCTCAGACAATCATACAGAAATATACCATATTATGTTATGCCATATTCGTTAGGGAAATCATGTTAAGAAAAAGAATCTTTATGTGCTCAGTGTATTTTTTTCAAATATTTTCAGTCCACACTTTGTTCAATCTGCATTATATGGAACCTGCAGGTATGTAAGTTGACCACAAAAAATATGACAGTCTTTTAGTCTCTACATTCTGCATTACTGTTCTACAGCTGAGGCCTCTTCTCTTGTCATCTCACTGCGGGCACTTCTGAATGTCACTGAAAATTTGTCACAGGTCAAATCCTCAGGGAGGCCTTTTCCAATTCTCTGAGGCCTAGGCAGTCACCAAGGCCTCTGAGTAAGTGCATCGCCCTTATCATTCAGGGACATAAGTATCCTCCAGGAAGCCACGGGCTGCTCTTGGGCAGGAACCCTGGTTCAGCAGATGTCACCTCCACAATGCTCCTACCATTCATGGCATTCGAGTTCGTATTCAGTGATGGTGTATGAATATACAAGTCAGCAGACACAGGAAGGACATGTGGATCAGGTTGGTTCTTGAACTGAGCTAAGTTACCAGCTTACACAGGCTGGATGTCTGCTGCTTCCAGAATTCTAGAAGTCAGAGACATCTGAAGTTGGGGGTTCATAGCTGACGTGAAGGGTGTGTGTGGGTCCTCTATTGAAGGTAGCCTGTACCAAGGTCCCTTTGGATCATAGGACAGAGGTGGCTTGGTTTGGTTGGAAGGCTGCCTGGGGAGGTGGGGCCTCAACTTGGCTTTGAGTAATAGCTGAACTACTCCAGTAGAGAGATAGGCCTTCCAGGCAAGAGCCTTACACCATGACTTAGCTCTAAGCCAGTCAACATCTCTTCCGCTTTCCCCTGTTAAGGCGCCAGAGAGGGAAGTCCCGAGCCTAGCATGGAAGGATGGTGCTTTCCATCTCTAAGGAGGAGACTGCCAGTACTCAAGGGTTGGATACCTCAAACACACATTGACAGACTTGTATCTCGCAGCTCAAAGAATGAATATTGCCTAAGACTTGCTGATTATTCAATATTAGATCCCTTACTACTTCCACTACCCGGTTCCACCACTTCTCCTCAGAGCAGTACCTCAGGAGGCACGGGTGGAGGCTGTGGCTAAGTAGAAACACTTAGCCCAGCTTTGGGAACAGGTGTGTGGGCCAGAACATTCCTGGCACCGTAGCTGAGGGCCAGCGGAGCAGCCCAGCTTGTACACGCCTCAGACCACATGATTCCTGAGGACAGAATCAAAATAGTCCTGGCTCCTGGTCAGGCCACGATTGAGTCAGTGCTACTTTTAGCACAACTGGAAAGGCTTGAGGCCAAGGACAAGAAAGGGAGTGGAAAGAGACCTTAGGAGGTATGCACTGTGCCATGGGAGCTGCCCTGTGACCACCAGCTGTGGAGACGCCCCTGGAGGCAGAAAGGAAGGGTCCAAGCTGGAGCTGGAGCACCCTCCAAGTGCATGAGCCTTCCTTTGAAAAGGTATAGCACCAACTAGAAGATTCCAGATCCTTCTCAATATCAACCTGAAGGCTTCCACAACTGGGCAAGCCTGCTTGATGGTGAAGAACTATTGAAGAGAGGGTAGAGTCTTGCCTCACCATCTGAGGACTGTTTGGCCTTGGCTGCTTGACCTGTGTCTTTCATTCTTAGCTTTCTCTGGTTATCATGGGAGTAGGAAAGAAACCCATTTATTGGACTTCAGAATGACGAAATAGGCTGGCAGAACAAGTGTGTGACCCTGGCAGAAGTATAGAGGCCTCCCAGACTTCTTCAGTTGAACACTAAAGACTAGGGACTAAAGTATGTGCATTAAGTAGATGTTTTCTTGTTTGTTTGTTTTTGGCTCCATTGCTGTCAGGAACTCCCTCTGCAACCTACCCTAAACACTCCTCTGCAGTTCTTCCTGACTCCTACCTTCAAACCTCCACAGCTCTTATCTCCTGGGGCTCAAAGGACACTGACGTAAGTAGCTTTTACTTTGAAGGATGAGCTCTGGTCAGAAGAAACTAATCTAGTACTGATGTTTGTCATCTCTGACAACTTCTTTCATTCAAACCCACCCTGGGATGATCCTGCCACCTTCTTAGCTCATGTGGCTCTCACTTCTCACTATGTGGTTGCCTGCTTCACAAAGGGACCCATTACATGGCCAACATCAGCCAGTGGATATCAGTGGAGCCCATGCTGACACTAGACTGGACCTTAGAGTCAGTAGGGAGCTTGGACTCCCCTTTCCACCACCCTGCTCAGAGGCCTACCAAACCTTTCTCCACCCCACCCCCAACCCCTCCAACCTCAACAACCATACGGCAGGGGCTTGTTTTGGGGCCTTCATTCTATGGGCATGGCAATGGTTAGGAGGGCCTGTGACCCAAAGGGAGGCAGCCAATAGGGCCAGAGTTTTGAAATGACCATGTGGCATCATATCTAACATGCCACTGGTGACAGATGCTCCCTGATTTCAGAGATGTCAGATTGGACAAAACAAGCAAGGAAGTAAGCCAGCGAGTGAGCGAGCAAGCAAGCAAGCAAGCAAGCGAACAGGCAGGCAGGTAGGCAGGCAGGCAGGCAGGCAGGCAAGCAAACAGGCCTAGTATGACTGAGGCAAGCACAGTCAGTGATGGACTCTTGCCACACTTGCCTCTGCTTACAATGCCCATTCTTATTTTTGCTCCTCCCCACTTAAAGACACAAAGAGAGGCACAGAGAACTAAGCAGCATAGTATCAGAGCAAGTGTTCACATACTCATTCATCCTCAGGCCAAAAGACGGGAGTCTGCTCCCACTTGAGCTCCCTTCTGATCCCTTTCAACCGCCCTCCCAAAGATAAAATTTTTTATGATAATCACTTCCTTTTCTTTAGATCTCTGTATGTGTTCTATTCTGCAACATGATGACTCAGTTTTGCATATTTTTTCGGTTTTTTTTTTTTTTTGAGACAGGGTCTTATACAGCTCAAGTTGCTCTTGAACTCATAACCAAGGAGGACCTTGAATTTTTGATCCTCCTGCCTCGTCTCCTGA